CCCCCCCCCCCCAGCACCCACGGCCCCCCCCCGGACACCCCCCGCAGCCCCCATCCATGGCCTGGGGCCAGGCACGGCCGGCAGAGAAGCCATAGCACCCCCAACATGCAGCTCTGCCCCCCAACCCTGACGTGCTAGAGATGGATACCGCTCAGCCCCCCCCCAGTGCCACGTTTCCCCCCCCAGGCAGGCAGGTCAGAGGGGTCCCAGGGAGAGCACTAGAGCCGAGCCCCCCCTGCTCCTGCCCCCTTGACCTGCTGGAGATGGAAGCTGGGGGTCACCCGGCTCCACTCTCCCCTCGCCCCCTCCCAGTCCGGCTTGGCTTCCCCATCCACCTCTGCTGGGACCAGCGGGCGGCAGCGGGGACTCTGGTGCCTTCAGCTGTGGGTGGCTGTCGCTGAATTTATTTAACGATTAAAAGCAGTTTCCACTTACTCCGGCGGCTCCGGGTCCTTCACGGTGTCAGGGCAGGGGGGAGAGGTGGGATCTGGAGCGGGAGGTGGCTCAAAAGCCGGAGGATGTGTGGGAGATGAGACATCCCGAGGGACAGGAGCAGGAGATGAGAAGTCCCGAGGGACCAAGGGAGGGGAGCGGGAGATGTCTTGAGGGATGGAGGGAGGGGAGCAGACATGCGGGGAAGGAGAACGGCAGACACAGGGCTGACCCTCAGCCCCACAGCCCCAGCCCAGCCCCAGTGGGGTGGGGGTCTCCCCGGTGGAGAGGCCAGCCAAGGGGTCCCGTTGTCCCCCCAGACGGGGTAACAGCACGGGTGACCCCAATCCAGCCCTGGGGCCAGGCCGTGGCTGAGCCCCCTCCCCAGAGCGCCTGGGGCCTGCCCTGGCCAGAACCTCTCCCCACCCCGCGCCCCCAGCCCCATACTGGGGTCCCCCCCCTCCACCCCCGTCTCTGCATTGGGACCCCGCCGGCCCACAGAGACCAGCGGCCGCGGGGGGGGGCTCGCAAAGGCCGCCGGGAGTTGTAGTCCCGTTAGTGGCAGGCGCAAGGCCCGACGGGAGCTGTATTTCGGCGCGAGGGACGCTGGGGGCTGTAGTTCCGGGCACGGCGCACCCCGCCGCCGCGGCGCGGGGAGCCGCACTCCATTTCCCAGCAGGCAGCGCGGCGGGGCCAAGGGTCCGGGCCTGGGCGCCTCCGGCCTCGGGGGGCACGGGGGGCAGCGGGGCCG